AAAACTTCATCATATTGATGCACTGAATTTGGAGTTGTTTAGTTATAAACTCTGGATACAAAGGATCGAGGTGCTTACTTTATATACCAAAGCAGACCTGGCTTCTAAATTCTCCCAGTATCCCTCAGTTCTTACCTGGCATACCCTGTCCTCAACCTTATACTTTCCATCCCCAAGGCTGGGCTGCCTTTCATAAGAAGCTCTTCCCTATATAATCTATTTTGAACTCTCCTCTGCCTCCTTCTCTCTCTCTCTCCTTCTCTCCCTCTCTTTCTTTCTCTGCACATGTTTTGAATTTTCTTGTTTTCTTTCTCTCTCCCTCCCCAGGGTGACTTCTCTGGCCTTGGTCCTTGGGGACAATGAACCTGTCTGAGAGTACCTTTCCTACAAACCTGTATATATATGCTTATACATATATAGCTTGAAATGGATTCTTCCACTGGCAGAGAAACAACTTATCAGATTTAACCTAAGGCTTTTCCCCAGACGACCATCATTCATATTTGAGAATGAACTATCTTTTATCCCCTTTGAGGTGACAGCTGAATTTTTGTGTCAACAGGTCTAAAGCTTCTATAGTCTTCAAGTCTTCTGAGTGTAAAGTGAATTGAAAGTTTTTATTTTAGGCATCTCGAACCACACCCAAGTGATGGGTACCTAGTTGTGTTCCCAGGGTCTATAATGTAGAGTGTTTAAAGCCTGAAACCACATCCTGGCATCTCAACCACAGGGGTGGGGTGGGGTGGGCTTCTGAATTAAACAGGTTAAAGAAGGTTAACAGAAGCTAAGATAAATGGTTAGCCAGCTGGAGGGTCATTTCACACAAACAGGTAGTTTTTTAATAAAGGCTAAGTTAGCTAGGACATCCTAGAATAGAGAGGGGTAGTTTTCAATGTATTCTCCATGAAGAAGATCAGATTCTAGTTACACCTAGAGATGGCCTTAGTTAGAGTAAAAATGGAAGGACCTCAGCACTGTCAGGCCTCATCACACAGAGGGATGGAGACACAGAGTGAGGGTTTTCAGAATCAAAATGGACTGACTTTCGTAAAGCTGTAAGTCACATAAATAACAAGAAAAGGAGGATATGAAAAATGCCTCAAAGTTGTGAATAGAAGAATCTAGTGTTATGTTTGGACAAGAAAGAACAAGCACAAACCACCCACCCACTATTCATATGAAAGTCTCCTGCAAAGATGCTTCTCCATAGTCATGAACCTCAGACTGGCTGCACACTGTTAGGTAACCTGGTGAGAAGAAGACCGCTACCACATTTTGGTGCCAAATTGGAAACAAAGTTGAGTATTATTGTGTGCAAAAGGGAGCTGGATAGTGACTGTTGTTTTGTATGAAAAGAAAGAGAAAATCAGGGATGTGTTTGGTGGAGGGCCAGGGGATGCCTCTGCAGGCCTATGCTGAGTCATCCCTTCCCCTGTGGTACCAGCCACAGGACTGTATAGTATAGTATGGTATGGTGTGGTGTGGTGTGGTGTGGTGTGGTGTGGTGTGGTGTGGTGTGGTGTGGTGTGGTGTGGTGTGGT